GTGCACGTGCACATGTTCTGCGGGCTGATAACTAGTTCTCGGCCCCGGGCCGCAAACTCATAATAGGTCACGTGACACTAATAATCAGTTGATATCATAGGCAATTTTGTTACTATATATAGTAACAAGTGTATTAAATATTTTTGCCAGATTTGAATGATAATGAAGTATTCGTGTGCGATTTCTAGTGCACGAACATCGCAACCCGAAATAAGAAGGGTAACATATTGTATCCCGTCGAACCTGGTCATTTTAATTATTTTTTAATAGACTTGAGATATATTTATAGACGCAACTCAGACAACATAATTAAAATAAGTAATAATTTCAAAACTGTATGATTTAATTAAAAAAGGGTTATTTTTTAGGTTTACTTGGAAAGTCGTAGACGAATTCATTTTAATCTTCTAGCTAGTGTACCGGTTCACCTACGACGCGTTTCGGTATTTTTAAAAGATACGCACCGGATCGATAAGCTTACAACTTGGATTGATAAGCTAACTTATCAAATAACTTCTTTGCTCTTTTACTCTTAAATATGAATTTAAGATACGACAGAATACCTTGATGATTATATAAATCTGTGTTTGAATTAAAATAAATATTTAATAGGCTCCTAGAATTTCACTTCAAGTGATTTTAATTGGCGATTATTTTAAACAATGGTTTACTAGTAAAATTGCTTTTTTGTTCTCATTTTTCATTTTTAATGACAATATTTAGATATTGATCAATAAGTAAATAACAATAATCAAATTTGTATAATTTGCGAATTTCATGCTAATTGTGAGACAAACCCTTAATGACGTCAGTATTAGCGCCGGAATTTTGAAACAGTCATCACGTAAGTCAACCGGAAAAAAATAACATTTTGACAATGTGGCATTCCTGCTATTCCTAGATGTGATAAAATGGTTTAATTCTGATGATGTGCGACAAATTAGGTATAATGATACTACTCTTAAATTTTTTTGGCTTGGGAAGAAGTTATTTGGTGGTAGATTTTTGCGTTTTATGTCCGGGCCTAAAAATGAAGCAGATGGTGTTCTTGGTAAAACAAATTTCAGTCCAATGGATTCAAAGATTAACTTTGCTTGTCCTAGTGACTCAAGATTAACAAATTATAATCCATTGGGATATGATGTTGATGTTGAAGCCGGACCAGGAATAGTGAAACACATGATTGATCTTGCCGCAAAAAACAACAGGAATGAAAAGTCTTATGTCATTATGTTTGATGGCAAAAAGATAAAAAGAGGCGCTGACATGGATCTACTCGGATTTGAAAAAGAACCAGTGGCTCAAAAGAGAGAGCAATTGAAAAAAGACTTGGACATAATTGACGATACCTTTGACCAACTTCAGGTGATAGATGATTTTTATGAGGGTTATGGTAAAATAAATGAGACCATTAAGTTGAAATTAAGGGATAAAATTCGCGCTAGTTTTAAAACTATCTCAATATATATTATGCAAATGCGAAAGTTAAAGCAATCGAAAATTCTAACGTTAAAAAAGCACAAAGAGAGGATACAGAAAGATGCCTCATTAGCTAGAACACTACAGTACGCAATGGATGCATGTCGAACATCGACATACCAAATCGATAACTGTGTTGAAGTATTTATGAACGTCCAATGGGAACTATGTAAAGCCGGAGCTTACTTAAATGGCGTACCCCATCTGTTTGCAAAGTCGAAGAACGTATCGGTAGAAAAGCAGCTAAATGTCAAATTGCTGAAGGATGTAGCAGATATGAAGCTATTGCTGACCACTGACGTCGTTCCAACAAATTTGATAAAACAACGAAGTGAAGAATGGCATGCTGCTAGAAAAACTGTTAGAATTACGGGAAGCTCAATATACACTGCTATTGGCTGTGATGGACTCAAGCGTCAGAACGAACATTTCGACTCGGTGTTCAGCAATGTTGTTAAGCCTGAGCCAGACGAAAATCAAAGAAAAGCTATGGAACATGGTGTGCAATCTGAACCACATCAGATTGCAACATTATCAAGTGTTGTCATACCATTCTTATTTCCGGACATGAGCTACGTCGAAGAGGGCTATTATAAAGTCGATGATGTAATTGTTTCACCAGACGGAAGTCTCAGGGACTCATCAGGATCACAAGTATCATACGCATTTGAAGGTAAAGCACCCATACCAAAAGAATTTTCAACTAGACAACATTATACTGTTCCATTAAGATACATAACACAAACCATTTATGAACACAAAATATGAAAAACAAGATCAACAAGGAAAGGCGGCGTTCAATGAACGCAACCCCCATATGACCCAGCAACAAGAACCAATGGCAAGGAGCCCAGGCGGACCCCAAACATAAAAAGGACAGGGCAACGACACGTTAATCATTAAATGATAAATAATTTGTAACTGATTAGGAATTCAAAGAAAATAATAATAGGCCCACAAAGGGGAAGGGGACAGGAGACCGGGGGAAGGGGGGGGGGTTAATCAAAGAAATAAAAACTAGAGGCAATGGGGAAGATACTTACCGTAGACGAGAAAACAACAAGGGACACAAGCAAAAGTGTCACCAAAACAGTATGAAACAACATAGACATACATCTGAGGAACACAGTGGGCGCCGCCTTGGAACGGTCAGCAGCATAATAATGACTGCTGGGGAGTTTAAACCGGTTAATGGTGCACCAAACCTCGCTCTTAGCCCCACCATGTTCCTATAAACGAGACAGTGTAAATAAAATGAATCCCCGCCAAGTGAAATTCTAACAGTTGTCATGGTTACAAAAGGTTAAATAAGTAAAACACTAAAATGATCATGTAGAAACATATAAAAGTAAACCCAATGACCATAACAAAAGTACTCAATGTCCTAAAGGAAGACAGAGCAACAAGAAAAATCACCTACAAGGGCCCGACGAAGCAAGGCAGAAGACGAACATTAAGACAATTCAGTCCCAAAGGGCTTTACGAACTATCCATCATAGAGTCTCCCCCACTTGGTCCGTCAGATGCAATCAAAAGAGGAAAGCGTAGTGTCCAACTGTAAAAGGGTTGAACACTAAACATGCAGTATGTCTTAAAATAGTAGGGTCATAACCTCTTTTAATAAAACGTTTTAATAATTTTAGTAAAAAACAGCAGAAAAATTACCATGACCCAAAATCTTACGAAGTTTGTAAACCACATCGCCATAAAAACCAGGCTGGCTAATCCCTTGTCGCAGAAGAGTTTTTAAATCACTATTGAATTTAGAAATTAAATCAAAGTTACGATTGTAAAATTTAGTAAAATATTTCCGTAATTTATGATAGCGGTAGCCCTGTTTTAGAAGCTTGCTGGTAATAAAAATATTCCGCTCGTTGAAATCCTTTACGTTGTTACAAGCTCTAGCGAATCTAATTAACTGAGAAACATAAACCCCGTAGGATGTTGCATGGGGTACGTCTCCATCCAAATGTGGATAATTAACTATACAAAAGTCAAAGTCATCTCTTTTATCATAAATTTTCGTGTGAATAGAATTGTTGTTGATAGTAATATGAAGATCCAAAAATGATGTACTAAAATTTCAAGAGTTCGTTTTATTAAGTTGTAGTTCATGCGGATAAATGTCAGACACCATTTGATCAAAATAAGGATTATCTAAATTAAAAATATCATCAAGGTATCTGGAAGTATTATTAAATGCGACTATAACATCTTGTTGTTTCTCTTCAGAGAGACTCAACATAAAGTCTCTTTCATAGCAGTACAAAAACAAATCGGCGACCAGGGGTGCACAATTAGTACCCATAGGAATTCCTATGATCTGTTTAAATAGGGTATTACCAAACCTGACATAAATGTTGTCTAAAAGAAAAGAGAGTGCTCTACAAACTTCGTCACAGGTCCACATAGTATAATGTTTAACAATACCGTTAGTAAAAAAAGCTTTGTACGAATTACATGCTAGAAAGGTAACTTTTTCCCGTGCAAAAGTTTTCTGAATTAGGGAAATTAGTTTATCATTGATTAATTTATGTGGCAAAGTTGTATAAAGTGTAGAAAAATCGTATGTACTGACAGTTGAAGCTTGAAAGTTATTAATTTTGAATTTATCCAAGATTTCACCAGAATTTTTAATTGACCAAAAGAGATGTTTGCCTGTGTTTTCATAGACTTTATATCACAATATCTAATTACATGTGTTTTAATGGCAGTCAAACAAGATGTCAACAAAATAGAAAGTTTACATGTAGTCCAAGATGTAGAATTAGCAATAAATCTGGCTTTGTAAGGTTTTTTATGTAATTTAGGAATCCAATACATAATAGGAAGTTTGAGTTCTTTTTCATTAATTTGGACTTTAAGATTGGAAATATTAGTAATATGATTGTTTACAATGTCTTTTTCAGATGCAGAGGTTTTAGAATACGCATTAGTGCTATTTAGTTCCTTATGCAAAACGTTAATGTAATGGATTCGTCAAACAATTATAATATTATTAGCCGCCTTGTCCGCTGGCACCAAAACAAATTTTGAATGAAAAGTTAGAATATCTTTTTTCAGATGTCTTAAAGTAAGTCTTGGTTTAGGTGGCAAAAGATGTTCATTTCCACGATAAAAATTAATACGTGAATCAATAATTTTAAAGATGTTACGTTTCCATGTAACTAGAGCATTACTATCCGCATTTTCACGGCGACACCATTTGACCGAAAAATCCTCTATAGATTCAGAAATCTGACCACGACAAGCATTAAAATCAATCTCAGAAGGAATTCTGTATTTAGGTCCTTTCAAGAATAAGTTACGAATTCTTTTGTCTGCAATTATATCAAAATTACCAGTGATTATATGGCCAAAATCTGAATTACAGAATTTAGAAGTATTGCAGTCTCAAGTTGTTGGAGTATTAGACTGAATATCTAAGTCAGAAACCACTTTGTTGTAATTAAATATGATATTTCTAACAGGTTTCTTATATTTATAGCAAATAATTGGTATCTCGGAGTTTTTGAACAAAGCTACAAACTCCGACAATGGGACTTTGTATATGTGCTTGACCCCGGAAAGTACAACATTATTTAAGGTAACAAAAAGTAATGAATTGTATGAAATGATAAGAAGTGTCATTAAACATCTGTACGGTGAAGATATTCCGAGAAGGAAGACGAGATTGTCCATTAAGACAAAGGAATTGAAAGAAAAACTCCAAGAATGTGTAAAACAATGTGTCTTTCTTGGAGAATTTCCATCTGTGAAAGCATATACTAATTCCAGTGCAAACGAAGAGCCAGAAGACATAAATGTCACATTTGAATACAAAAGCCTGTCAAGATTGCTTCTAAAAGCTAAAACCTCAATCAGAGAAGCATATAATCTTCAGAGAAATTACGCATCACAAGTAGTTGTATATCTGCTTGCCGATTTAGACAGACTATGGAAGTCAGAAATACCACATGCCATACCAGTTATGTATTATTATAGAGGATATAGTTTGTCGATGGAACAAGCTAGAGAATTACTTGACTTTTGTCGAAATGCATGCAGAAAAGAAGGATTGGACGTAATAGCTACCGCTTCAGACGGTGAATTCAAGCAGCTGATGGTTGTAGGAAAGAATGGAGCCCCCCTCACATTATACCAGCTCAGCAAGGTAGTATGGCATGAAATATGCAACATGAAAAAATCTCAATTAATAAATCTACTAAGTACAGTGAATCGCAAGTATACAGTCGAAATCGAAGCTGATCATAAGATTTCACTGACAAGCAAAGATTGCGGAAGTAGTATTAGGACACCGCCAAAGGGATGGAAGAAGAAAAACATGTCAAAGAAAAGGCAAGTATCCCAAACAATAATAGAACCAAATGTGTCAGATATTAATAATGCATTAGTAGAACTTGACACAGTTAATAATGTGACAAAAGATAAAGATCTTCATAGCGACCCTGATAAAACAGTCTTGTACGACTTTGAAGAATTACTACAGGAACAAGAATTCAATGGAGACAGTGAAGCGTTTCCACGTAAGCTCAACAATGATGAGAAAAAAGATATTTTACATCTTATACACCAGAGAAGGCCAAATAAATGGAAAGATACTTCTATTAATGAATTGACATATATTTTAGAAAACAAACTCAAGGTACTAATCGTGGATGAACTGCAAGAGATATCAAAATATCTTAACTTAAAACTAAGAGGCACTAAGCTACAAATGAAAGTGAGGAACATTAAGAAAAATGAACTAGTAGAACAATTAAGTAAAACCATACAAGGTACAGTGAATGCACAGCCCACAGTTAAAGCGAAGCCCCCACCAAAAAAGACAAAGGTACGTAACCCTCAAACACTACATGATTTGGCAATTGCAGCTTTAAGAAACCCGTCATATCCGAAACAAGCTTTAAACATTGCTTATGCAAGGTTCATATGGCCTAAAAGAGTAGAAGAATGGCGACGGAATAGTAGAGTCTCTAAAACCGTAATTGTGAAAGGTAATTCAGAAGAATTATTTTTTGAACCGTACTATGTCCCCGAATTTAATGAGGAAGAGGAAGATTTTCAAGTATTTATTTACGACAGAACACACTTGGGAACAAATCTAAGGAAATGTTTGTGTTTGGACAAAGTTGACGGTATTTCCATTCGTGCTTGGAAAACGGTTGCTGACAGAAAACCAAACATTTTGCACCCGACTATTGTAGAAATAACTGAGGATGGTAAAATTTTGGATCAAATGAAAGAAAAATTGGCCAGATCTATGGTTACCGAAGAAGTTGAACAAGAAATGGAAGTGCAAGGTTATTTCGCAGAGGCCAAATTTTGTAATGTGATTCGAAACGGCCTCTATATAGCTGATGACGTACCAGGAATCGATGCAATGGATAGGTGTAAAAAAAGATTAAAACTGATCGAATGGTTAGACAAAGATATCGACTTTGGTAGATTTCCTCCATATGGTGGAAGGATAAAAGGACTATCCCATATTTTGTATGAAGGGCTTAGAACTAGTCAAGAGGGAAAGCTTTACTTGTATGCTTTAGCAAAATCAGGGAAATACTGTGTCCGAGCTGCGAATACTTTGTGCAGTGAATCATTCTTTGGATCGATGCAGGAAATGGATCCATGGGGTCAAGGAATATTAAGTAGCAGTGGTGTACAGAAGCACATCTCTGACTTTACTACGATAACTGCTTTAAAAATGGAAACTTCTAGGTACGTGTATTTTTAATCTTTTTTTTATTGAAAATATGACCGTTTACAAAAAATATGGATAAATATCAAATGATAGCTTCAATGTCTTACAATAAAACAAATTATGGTAAAAAAATATTTGTCTGGCCATTTGTCAGTCGCATGTGTAAAAAATGTCTCAAAATAAATATTTAACTATATAGCAACATTATATAAAGTCAATTGAGATAATACAGTTATAAAACGGCATTCACTTACGTTATATAGGAATATGTTTATCAAGACAAAGAAGGACACGGTGTATCCATCAGCTCAGGTTTACTACGGAGAAGACAAAGAAATGAACTATGAGGATGATCAGTCAACAAAAGAATGCAGTTGCAGAAAAGACAAATACATCAGTTGTATTGTTCCCAGGTAATGCAATTTAATACTTATAATTGTACAAGAAAAGCATTGATGCAAAGCATCAAAGGGCGTCCAAGCAAGAAATGCAGCAGGTGCAGATGAACTAGTAGATATTTGATGATAAACTGTTCAATGGTTCATTGGTTTTTACCAGAATTGTATATCACTTATGAATGAACGAACGAAAGACATTGTTCATTATTTATAAATTTGATTGGCATGCTAGAAATTAGAATATTACTTAATTGTTATTTCTTTATGACCGTGATTATTAATAGCAACGGATATACATGTATACAATCATTTATAATCCATATGAGTAACGCATGATCAACACCACACTTGTGTAATTGTCCCTTATTATGTTATCACTATTAGCGAAGACCCCCTCTTAAGGTATCTGTTCACACTTGGTAACAATATGACACTTGTTATATTACCATACTGATCATGTTGAGCATAATTGTTTATTATACACTAATTGTAATATCTTTTTTAATAAAAAAAATACAGATTTTATGAATATTGTTTTCTTTTCTTTTTTGTGTTTTATGCACTATTTTAATACTGATTTTTTACGTTTACTATTATTTTAAGAATTCAATTGTCAAAATGACCGACGATTATAAGTCAAAACTTAACTGGAAAAAGTCAGTAAATTATGGTTAATCTTTCAATATATAATATTGTTTATTCTTAAACCATATACATGTACATTTGTATTTTTCTTTATCATTTCTTAAATTATCAATCAATTGAATAATTCATAAAATCTGATTTGAAACTTTACTCAACACGAATAAGAAATTAAATAAAATGTTTCAAAATTGATAGTGTCATATTAATGCCATAAAAATGTATATTTTTTCTCAATTATTGTTCATATTTATTGTTTTTATCTCATATAGATAAAATAAAACATGCGATTTGTGTTGTTGGTTTTTTTTTTCGAATTGTATGTTAATGTATAATAATAAGCAATAATTTTGAGAGTTGATCTGTGTTTATTAATTATTGTAACCAAACTAAGTGACAAACATTCATTTTGAAAAAAAAGCTTATTTATCTGTAAAATATTTGTTCTGTTCTGTAACGATATCAAACATCTACTTCAAAACCGGGAGAGACCGGACAATAAACGTGTGGTACTATTCGCCGGTCGTCAAAATAGACCAGGAGAGACCGGGAATTACCGACAGGAGTACATCCCTCTATAAATAGATTTTCGGAATATTTAGGTCATCAACTCATCATTCTATTTACAGCTTTCGGAATAACATACCATTATTATCCGCTGTGTACTACAAAATGATAAATAAAAATACCTTGAAGAGCGCGATTTATTGACGGAAAAGGTTATTTAATTTGAAAAGGTTATTTCATTTGAAAATGTTTGCATTGCGAAATTCTCCAGTTCGCTATTCATTGTACATATCGCGACTAATAAATAATCAAGCACCCTCATACCGATCGGAATGATCGGCTTTTATTATGAACAACTATAAAAGGCTCGAGAAGTTGCTGTCGCCCTTTCACAAAATCTGATTTCATTACATAAAAGGCGCCGCGCTTCGGCGCGGTGGCCAATAAAGAAAGTAGATAGTGCACCTGATGTTATAAAGATCCTTGAGATAACGATATATAATTTAATCTAGGTACCAAAAATCAAATATATTTCATTCATAAAGGTATGTGGTTTTGACCTTCCGATAATGCATATACCATGGTTACTATTTATTTCATTTTGATCTTTACATCTTTTATTTACAGAAACCACTTCTTTGACACTAGTGAGAGAGCTAGAGTATACAAAGGCGAAAAGTTGTATAAACCAGGAACAGGAGAATTAAAAGGCGAACAGCCAATCAGAGCCCAGTATGGATACAAAATAAACGAGGCCAAAATGCTGCCATCCCAAAGACTTGGTATTTCCAAGACAGTGTACCAAAATAAATACTAAAGTTGTTTGAATATATTTTAAGATATATGTTTCGACACTTGTGTTAACGACCTTAACATATTTTAACTTACATGTATACCTGTATTGTAGTAATACACTACTTACCAAAGTGATGTAGGTTTATTGTAGTTAGCTTTTGACTTAAAGTTTGTATCAATGAACGATAAAATGATAATTATCAATTAATCAATAATTTTAAATTACAAAGACTGAAAACATCATATATAACTATAAACAAGAGGACATTGGTTCTAAAGGTTATTGTTTTAAATCTGCAATTATTTAAAATAGGATTTATGTGGCAATTTACTTTGACACGTTTGTTTAGTAGCATGTTTTACGCTAGAAGATATTTGAGGCATTTGATTGAAATGTCATATTTAAAGGATGAAGTGCATTTGGACTTTAGTATGTGGCATTTCTCTGGTTAAAGAATTATATTCATGTCATTGATCTGCATTTTAAAAAGTAATCATGTATATACATGTATAAAGCACCTATGAATATTTCTTGTAAACATGCACATATTGACTTTTGAAAATAACAGTAAATACGTGACATGTTGAAGTATTGTCGTTTTTTACATCATTAAAGCTGCGGTTACGACTGAGTAAGGCAGTTTTCCTTTAAACTAAAGATATGTTCCTGCTTCAAAAGCAAAGTGTCTATGCAAAAGCTAAGTACCTTAATTTGACACTGTGCTCAGTACTGGCCAAATCGAGAGCAACAACGGTGTCCAGTACTGGGTATGTGTTCAGAATACATTAAATGATGTTTAAACACAAGCAGAAGCCCGTCTGAAAGCTGGCAAAAATATCAGAGTGTATTGATAGACACGGAGACAATTATGTTTCCAGTAGTGTGTATTGTTCACATTTGCAAGGATTTTACGTTTCACAGTAAGTTTTTTGATGCAAAAACTGAACAACAATTTATGTATTTTAACAAATTTATTTGTCTGTAACTGACGAGATCAACATGTATTACATGTATTGATTTGCTAACCAAAACAAAATATACTTAATAACTATAACAAAACCAAAAAATAATAAATAAAACTATAAGAAAAAACAAGTAATCTCTGTCTTAATATAAATTCAAACATGTATAAAACGTGTATCACAATAATGCAATATGGTTCTTCTGCCCGCATCTACAGACACCAAATAATATTTTTCAAATTATAATTAAATATAAATACAGAAGCCATCGTTTCATTGCAATCTTGATACATTTTAGCTGCAAGATTTCAAGTTGCTGTAGTAGTTTTATATATTTTATTTTTTTTTAACAAATGTTTATAACATTATATGTTCATCTCAGATGATTGCATTTCTTTTTAAAATGTCATCTTGAAGTATATAATTGGATAGACATTACCCGTACGGCAACCATGTTCTCCATGGGTCCTGCAACTTTATCTATAAAGTATTACTATCACAATAATATTTTATTACGCAGGAATACAGTTTCAATCTCTGTATGATAACATATCTAAACGAAACATGGTACAATAAAATAATTAAAATGTCATGATCTAAAAATTACACTGTGGATATTGCTGTAGCAGGTAAAAGTAATCATTATCACTGTAATGTAGTTGTATTAGTTAACTATCATTGTTATACGGCCATGGCTTCTTTATTTGTAAGCGTGTATTTTACAAACAAAATCACTATACCTTAAATGTATAACATTTTCTACATGAATTGTTCTACAAATGTTGTTTAATGGTAAAAGAAAAATATTTCACATTTTCAAATGCTTGAGAATACAAGTAACAAGCAATTGCCATAGTATTGTAAGCAATCCGTAAGTCCCCTACATGTTAGAATCCCAACAACATTCTTAGGAAAAGTTCTTTAAAAGTGATCTTGGGAAACAGTTCTTAGGAACGGGCAGACAGACGGATTGAAAGACACCATGAGAGTCAATCTTTAGACATCTTGTGTTGTTACCAGAATAAAGCAAAATTCTTAAAGCAACATGCCTCCAAAAAACATGCTAATTTTTATGAAATTTTTAAAAATGTATTCAAAAATAAATATTGTAAAGTAGACTAAGATCTTATTTTACACATTGCAAACGGAGCTAACAATCCACGATTATCATCAAAAAGTGGTAAAAATGTGCAAAAATAGGCCTTAAAATATACTGCGTTACTAACGCAGTAGAAATTTGGAGATAAATACTGCATAATCAGTCAATAAGCAAATAGCATGTTAATAATTACTCGAATCTTGAATCTTTTTACATTTTTTAAATCTTATAACAGTTTTTTTCAAGTTTGATTTTCTTGAAATAGTTATGCTTATGTGGAGGTATGCAGCTTTAAACTAAGAGGAGATAACTCTTTAAATAAAGATGCTTACACTTATTAATATTGTCATACATGATGTGAGTGTAACAAAGAATAATTATCTAAAGTATAAAAAAGATACCATTTATAGTCACAAAGAAGAAAATTGAAAAATGTACCAATTTTCAAATAATATACCATTTATATTAACAAAGAAGAAAAAGGAAATCAAATAATTTTCATGCACAAAATGAAAATACTCATGGAAACTCATGACTTATAAATCTATTGACATATGATGTAGGTGTTGATAATGAATGTCTATTTTAATATGAAGTAAATCCATGGAGAAAGAATGAGTAAGAAAATTTTAAAAGTTTAACGAGGAGATAATTCTGGAAATATGACGCTAGATTTATAACCCTTGTCATATTATAATGATGTTGTAGTTTGAAGTAAAAAATAATAATTTCTTAGAAAAAAATCTAAGTTCAAGGGGAACATAATTCTGGAAATAGTCCAGCTAGAATATTGAAACTTCTTACAAATGATTTGTGTGATAATAAGAAACATATATATGACATAGAAACATATACATTGCTAAATTTTAAGCCTATTGTGTTGCCATAGCAACCACATTATACAACATAGAAAGAAAAGATAAAGACGTGCATAATCTTGAAACTGCCGTCTACATATTTAAAGTTGCATAAACATATTTGTAGTACTTTATGCGTTATTACGGGATCCAGTTTTGTTGACGGATGGACGGACAGACAGACAGACGAACGGAAGATAAACCTAAAGTTTCCATACGATTAAACCGGACTAATAAAGCAGTATCTCAATTGCAACGTCACAAGTAACATGTTCGTCATCACTCATAAAATTTATAGCTTTAAAGCACACAAGTTTACATATGCTAGAACTACTGTAACCCAACGAATATTCGCGACCAATTAATATTCGCTTTATTCGCGGATGGCCACGAAGCGCGAATATTTGTTTGCGCGAATAAGTCCGCACGATTTCGCGAATAAATTGGAGATACATTTTTATTTTAGACGCTGTTCATGCAAAGCTACTTGACCGGATATATTCGAATTTTACGGGCACCTGTTAGGAAGTAATGAATTGTTATGAATATTGCCATAAAGCAATAAAAACACAAACTAAGTAAACAACTACAATTTTATAAAAATCAAAAAAACTCTATGTCAATATAGCAATCAAAATAAACATCCACATTTTAATACAGTTTATGAAATACTACTAGGCCTATTGTCAATCACGTTCCGTGATTACAATTCACTTACCAATACAATATAAGGCTAGCGTATTGTTAATCCCTTTTAAGACACCAATAATGACCTCAATTATTGAAGATTAATAGTCGGCTAATGGATTTTTCGGCCCCATCGGACTTTCCAATTCGCGAATATTTTTTTTCGGAAATCAAGAAAACGCGGAAATTAATATTCGCGAATATGTCCGACCTCGGCAAAACGCGAAAATTTGTATTCGCGAATATAAATTGGGTTACAGTATATGAATATTGATTGTAATGTACGCAACTAATTTAATCAAACTGATGTACGGTTCTGAGATGTCTGGTTTGTGTAAATTTACGATCGAAAACTTTGCCACATACTTCACACACAAACTGCTTTACTTGTGTGTGTTTTATTTTTTCATGCATTGCTAATGCCTCTCGACTACAGAACTGTTTTGTACAATACGTGCATGCGTGGCTTTTCATCATACTTTTTCCGCATCTTTGGATGTGTCGTTTTAAGTTGCGTGCATAAGCAATTTTTTTCTCACACTTCCCACAATTCAGCATATTGACATTGTGTTTTTTCCGTATGTGGTCCGTCCTGTCTTTCTTTGTGTAGAATGAACTATTGCATCCTTCAATCGTGCACACAAGTTCCCTTTTCCGTGTATGTACACATTCAACGTGTCTTTTAAGAGAAGCTGGTGTTGCGAACCGCCCATTACAAATACCACATAATGTACTGGTCGCCGCCTGCTCATGGTAGTTTTTGATGTGAAATTTAACTCTTGCCTTATTGGCGTAGGTCTTTCCGCACACATCACATGAAAATCTTTTTTGCGTGCCCTTATTCATGTCGAGATTCCACCTGAAATTTACATAAATTTCAAAATTAAAAACTGAAACTTTACGGACTAAAAGAAAAAAAACACTATTTTTGTGTGCCTAATCTGTTAATATTTTATACAGAGGTTTTACTTCAATTTTAATGAATTCGAATAATCAAATCACGTTTTTTATTTTAATTTGTCAACCCAATGGTACGATGCATATGCAATTGTATATGTTAATCAGTTACGTATAATAACGGTTACACTCCATCATATTATTACATATTGAATGATAGTGTTGGCTCCATCACATATTCGAGGGCTCATTCACATTGCCGATGGCGCCAGCACCTTGTCGATGGCTCGATCACAATAATAAAAATGTGATTATTTGGTTTTCAACTAAGTTCTGTAATTTATTTTTTGTGTTGGTCCACAGAAGAGGTTGGGACAATGCTATATACACGATTAAGTGGGCCAGCATCTACTTTACGATAGGAAAATAACTCAAAATGTGTCTCTTCGTAAAAGAAAACCCACGAGGTTATATTTGGTAAAAGTTCTAGCAACGTCATTTCAGGGTATTTCTTATCGAAACTGCATCCAACATGATGAGAAAAATGTTCCACGTGGCATGACATTCTTCGATTTTTGAAAAACAAGCATGATCTTTTTAAATTGATATTTTTACTAAGATGTCTTACCTTTTTCAGTCTTGTTTACATCGAGGGCTCTTCAACTGAAGTGTCGATGGCTCTCATTTAAACAGATCACCAAAATGTGAAAGAGCCACCGTTTAGTAGGCGTGTGTTATAGACATCGTAAATGAAATGAATTATTTAATTGTCATGTGTAATTTTACGTTTTCTTGTCATGTAGGTCCTTTAACAATATTGATATTATTGGTTCTTAATCAAGTTTCTAATGATACTAATTGCTGCAAATGCCCAATTAATTTTTTGTTGTCTTTTACTTCTTACATATTATATGATAAATTTAGAAAGAACGGTTCTTTTCTAAAACATCATAACATATGTTTAAGAACATTCATTCAAATTTATTTGAATAAAATCTCCAATTGAAGAAGCACTAATTTTTTTCATCAGATTATCTGTGGGAGACATTGTCAAAATGTAGTAATAAAACGTGATTTATG